CCAAGCCTTACACACCTAGATATATACATCTCTAGACCCTATACCCTCGAATCGACATTATTTATCTATATATATATATATATATTGTTTTAGGTTTCATGTTACATATGTCTATATTTGCGTGTGTATATATATATATATATATATATATATATATATATATATTTGTGCTTTATCATATGTATATATATATATATACATATGTATATATATATATATATGTATAGATAGATAGGTTCTTATCCCTAAACCCTAAGCCCTTAAGCTAAGGAGTGCGTCTCCGGGGAGCTCCTCGTCACCACCGGCCTCCAGCAGCCTCTTTCCAGGCCTCCGCATGATCAGACCTGATCTTCAGTGTAGCAACACCCAAAGGGTCCTACCTAGACCCCCCAACTACCCTCTAATATACCCCAAATACCCACTATTAAGGGCCATAAGGGCTCCATTAAAGGGCCATTGGGGGGTCCTGGTAGGTACCCCATAGAAACCCTAAAGTTCCGAACAACTGAAAGTTTACTGGGGTCCTTTGACCCTAGGATTAGGAACGTCTTGAACAAGCCTTAGGGGTAGTCAGAAGTTATTTTTTACATTTTGGTTATTACAATCCCTCAGAAACAGCTAGAATTTGAATTTTTTCTAGGGTTCTAAGTTCAGTATAGAACACCCAAAGGGTCCTAGGTACTGTTACGGAGGATACTTCCCCAAATTCATAATAGTAATTCCTCATACAGAAGAACTACATTCTCCCATATAGGTACTTAGGAGCCTTTGGGGCCTTGAACGAAGATATCACGCTAAAGGCCCAGGTCCTTAGGGTTTAGGGTTTAGGGTTTAGGGTTTTTGTGGAACTTATACACTATGCCACAGCGCACAAGTAATGGTATAGTATATACTTTTCGGCCCCAAGTACCTACTGTAATTGTATATGGACACTATGGGAAGGGTTTGAGGGTTTAGGGTTTAGGTGATATCCAATTATGAGTAATGGTTCCGTCTTGTTTTTGCATGATTTTAGTTTTATGTTTCGGAGATTCTTTCAGGGACTCCAATTCTGTGATCTATCTTATGCTTTGACAGTTCCTGAACATGGAACGCAATCTCCTGCCTAAGTCCTGAACCGAAGCCCTTAAAGCCTGAACCCCTGAGATCTAGCTAACACCTATGTACATTCCGTGTTATGGATGCATGCAGTCGGCAGCATTCCAGTCCAATCGTGGATCGAGGTTTCAGGGATAGTCTTTGCGATTCGGAACATAAACTTTCGGGGTGTAGGGCCCACAGTTTGGGGATGTTTAGCGGTTGGGGGCATCAGAGCTTGAGGGGTTTCGGGGACTGAGTTTGGGCTTGGTTTGAAGGTTTTGGTTTAGTTCAGGATCTAGGGTGTCTTTGGCGTGGGGCGTGGGTTGTAGGTATGTAGTTGTAGGAGTCAGGATCCTATGTTCTACGATTTCAACCTATACAGTGTCCAGCCAGCAAAGTAGTTGCTCCTCACATGTTCATGCCCGTACGACTCCTGCGCAGTCAGCGGCTGTTCAAGGCATGATGAGATATCTCGTTTGGTATCGTTGTTTTGCCTTTTGCTGCTGCTGCTTCTGGTGTTGCTGCTTGTCAACCCGACTCATGGTGTTTCTGGTATCTACTAATACTTAAGTAAGCTTATCCAGACTGATGCCGTCGTGATGGTGGCAATGGCTTCTCTCGTGGATAGGCTGTTCCCGTGTAAAGACAACAGTCTTGATTGAATCACAGATCCCACGTGCACGCTCCTCAAACTTCCGGCCTATGTTGAAGATAGTTGTGAAGCCAGAAAGTCTTGTGTACTCCCTCTGACTTTCTCCCTGAACCCCAACGTTTTGACGTTAACACCCTTCACACCCAAACACCGAATCCCACGTCCCCCCAACCCTCTAGCTTAAACCACGAAAAGCCCACCAAACCCCAAGCCCAATCCCCTTCCAAGAAAACAGCATCAAGGACAGATCAACTCTGGTCATAAACTCTACCCGTAGCCGAAAGACCTAAGTTTAAGGAACTATATATAGAAACCAGAGTAAGGACCCCTAAAAAGGTAGGTCTTTCGGCTACAGGTAAGCCTTCAGCCCAAAAAAACCCTAAATATCAACCCTATACTTTCACAATTTCTGTCATCCAAATTACTACAAAAGACATCCTAACCTTAAAGCCTTATAAGCCCTGTCCTACACCTTAAAGGCTTGGAGCCTTAAATCCCAAACTGTAAGCCCCAAAGCCCTAAACTAGGACCTAGAGTAGGCCCTATTCCCTTTTTAAGGGTTCAGGTTCCCTTATAAGCCCCTTTAAACCAAAAAGGGCATCCTTTTTCCTCCTAGGTTATTCTTGGGTCTAGTAAACCGCTCAAGGAAGCCAAAAACGCCAAAGGTGGCCACAGTTCCAGGGAAAGCCTCTGATCACGCGAATTGGAGCCGAGGAGGAGTTTGCTTCCCCGGTGCCTTCCGCGCCTTGGTTGGGGCCATCCTCAAAGGGGGTTTCATGGATTCAGGGTTCAGGGGTTTAGGGTGCAGGGTTTTAGCGTTTAGGGTTTTGGGGTTTAGGGTTTGGGTTTTAGGGTTCCGGGTTATAGGGTTTACCGGCTCAGGGTTAGGGTGGGCATCTTAACGAGGCTCCTGAGTAGTAGGAAAAGGGTACCGTTCTATAAAGGGGCTACTCAAGAAGGGGCTACTCAGGAACCTAGTTTAGGGGCTTCGTGGGTTCAGCGTTTAGGAGTTTAGGATTCATGACTTGGGGTTTAGGGTTTTAAGGTTTAGGGGTTTCATGGATTTGGGGTTCAGGGGTTTAGGGTTTAGGAGTTTCATGGATTTGGGGCTTAGGGGTTCTATACTGCGTTCGGGGTCTAGGATACATACATACATACATTAGCTGTTGCTTAGACTTGTTTGTACAGATATGTACTAGGAAAGTTGATACTCAGAGACCGGGAAAAGTAGATGCATAGAGAGATAGCAACAAACAAGCCTCATGTCTCCTCATATCCTAGAACAAGCCTAGGCCACAAGATCCAAGCACATCAAGGTACCAATGTAGTAGATGTTGGGCTCTTAGACCCTTTTGGTCAAGTTCTCACGCCGACCTATTGAACTCTTCTATAACCCTATAGAGCCATTTCAAATCCCAAAACTCCCAACCCCAAATCAAACATTCGCTCTACAGTCATTTAAAGCTCTCTCAACACACTTTGAGCATCCCTCTTCCCCACAGAACTCTGAGGTGCACGACATCATGCGCTGGTTCGAGCGCTCCCGAAGTGATTCTCTAGGAGGCACGGTTGTTGCAGCAACCCTGCGGCGGCTTCTTGAGTTTAGGGTTGAGGGTTTAGGGTTTAGAGTTTAGGGTGTCGGGTCTAAGGAGGGGTTCTCCATGAGAAGCTTACACGTTACATACTCTTCTAGCAAGGATTTGCATTGCAAGCCTCTCAACCAACGCATACACAACCCTTATGTGGAACACTCCAAATCCACCCCTGGTATACTCCCAAAGGTTAACCTTTAGACTTTCTAGGATACGAGACCAGTAAGTATCCTGGAGCCTCATGACCTGTGTGGGTCTGCGTACGTCTAGGCCATACAAGCCCTAAGCACTGTATCAGGCCTTCTATGGCCTTAGGTGTTTTCAGCCTGTTCTTAGATTCTTTATGCTTGGCAATGACACTGTACTGTTAAGTAGTTTTGATACAGATTGAATCTACATAACCCTTCCTCCCAATCCCACGAACCTTGAACCGTGATATGCCCAAGATTTTCTTTGGAGGTGGTAAGAACGCCCTGATGCTGATAGCCTTAGCCCGCTGAATCCCTCAACCCTAAACTCAATAAACTCACTTAACTCACTAAACCGTGAATTCTAAACCCAAAATCTTAAGCCCCTAAACTATATAGGGACTGAAACCTGAAGCCTAAACCCCCTACACCACAAATCCCTAAAATCTAAAACCTTTAACCGCACACATTCGCTTCGAACAGGGCCCGGCGCACTGCAAAAAGTGGTAGACATGGGGATCTTGATCGTGGTCGCGCGGATCGACGACTTCGAGTACGACCCATCGCTCGTGCCTGCTGAGGCTTCAGTTCCGTTGAGGGTTTACGGTTCCGGGTTCTGAGTTTTCGAACGTCCGGTTTAGTAGTTTGGGCCTCTGGCTTTCGGGATTTTTGGGGTTTCTTGAGCAGGGACTCATTGAGCTGACAGGTTTAGACTTTAGAACGGCAAGAGCCTCGGAGGCCAATCAGGGCAAAGGTCAGGACCCGATGGGTTGTGGATTCAGTTTCCGGGTTGCAATAGGGGTCTCAGTATGTCGGGCTTGCTGTAGCAATGGCTATGAATTTAAGATTTGGGGTTGCGGGTAGATACTATGGTATCTGTTGGGTACGGCCCCCACACAGCAAGAGTCTATAATAGGGCTACTATTAAGTATGTCTATATTATGAATATTATTCAACTATTACTAAGTGGGGGCTGTACCTATGGTATCTGGGAGGTTCGCTGCAGATTGCGATGTAGATCAAAGCAGGAGCCCATGTACCCGGTATATGCCGAGGCCTCATAGGGCTTCCTACAAAACAGGGTTTAGGGCTCAGTCGGTACCCTAAACCCTAAACTCCCTAAACCGTTAAGAACAAGTAAACATACAGGGTTTGGGATTTAGGGTTTCGGGCTTAGGGTTCTTATAGTACGGTTGATGATACAAAATCTTGCATGACCCATAATAAGAAATATACCATAATTCTCATAGTTTTGGGTCCTTAAGGTATGCAGGATTGACATCATCAACAGTAGGACCGTTAAGAACTAGTAAATGCTGCGTAGTTGTATGGAGCCGTAGGGGGTCGAAGCCGCCTCTGAGCTTGTCGTTTTCCGGGGGCCTCAGGTTTTTTGGATCTTGGCGATTCTGCCGGGTTTTTGGGGTTTAGGGTCTTTTTTGGCGGCGTTGCTAGTGTCCAAAGACGCACTCATGAATTCAGTCCGCTGACCTAAAGAAAAGGCCAATCCGCAGCACGCGCTCTGCGCAGTGCTTCAGCTGGTCCAAACAGGATTGCATCGCCCTGGAGGACAACAGCGAAACTACCCGCCTCAAAAGTATGTTCACCATCGACAAGGTGGACATGTTCAGCTATAATAGCTGCTAACTGTACAAGAGGTCTCTGCCAGTCCGCATCGCAGAAACCCGCATGCCAGGAGATACCCGTCTCGACCAGACGCAACCAATGCTGAACGAAAGTAGGAACTTGGTGCAGCTCAACAAGTTGGCTGACATCCAAGCTATCATCTCGGTTGCCGGGAGTGAGGCTCTCATCAGCAGGCTGTGGCTGAGGCCGAGGCCTCAAGGTTGCCCACCAAGGAGTGGGTCCCACCAAGGCGGTCGGTGGGGTAGAGCGTGGTGCACACTGCTCGGGCATAGCAGCGGCCTCCACCTCTGCTTGCTGGTACTTAAAAGCACAATCTGGCGACCTACGGAAGTGGTCACGTAGGCGGGCAGTATCCCAGTACTGTCTCCTGCAAACTTCGCATGCTGTGCCCCATGCGTATGTCTGCATGGCACGTACCTTGTGCTTCTTTGCTTTATGCACGGCGAGGCGTGCAGCGCCCCGAAAGCCTCGGTTGCAGACACCACACCTATGCAGGGCCTCAGTTGGATACGACTGCGGTATCCGTGCATAGTGGAGTCCAGCATCTGCAATGGCCTGATGGGCCTTCGCCTTCCGGATTGCTCCCGCAACAAGCTCCGTCCGACCGTCAATGCACGTCTTGCGGAAACGCCGAAGAAGCGACGTTGTTGCAGAACGGTCTCGCGGCCAGGTGCGGACTAGGCCTTCAGGCGTGGGCGTACTTTGGATCCAGCTGAGCAGGGGCACGTCATGCAGTTGGGAAGCAATCAACAGCACATCAGCCCGCACCTGCTGGAGCCATTTGTCCTCCGCAACAAGGCTCTGGGTCAAATAATCATCTGCCCGCTGGTGCAACTGGGCGAGGACTCGGACTCGGCGTACGGCCAGCACCTCATCTGGCAGTAGGGTCGCAGTGAGTGCACACACCTGCTGCGCATTCAGCCTTCTGCAAGATACCTTATGCAGAGGTTTAACACTGCCGCGGAGAAAGCCCATGTAGGATTTATCAAAAACCCTTTTGCTCGCAGCGCTGTCCAAGGCCCATGTGCCGGCACCATGGAGAAACTTAGCGAGGACGACTGCGACTAACAAATTTTGACGCTCAGGAAGGGTCAAGTGAGCATTTGTCAGGATCCGTCTCTTAAAGGCAGGGAAGACATCGCGCGCGAGCTTGGCCCGTTCAGTGACAGCAGTCACGTCTTCAGCCCGGCCATCCCGAACAACGCCGAGGTGGGTATAGCGATCGACACATCGCAGCTTGAGGATGCGATTGTCAGGCAACCGGACATCGACAACGGCCGCTTGTGCCACGAAGAGAGTCTCGCGTGCCTTGGCTGAACCAGTGCCATGGAGACACACGACCGCCTCTGTCTTTCCAGCCGAGAAGTTCACTTCAATGCCTGCCACCAGAAGGTACTGGCAGACAAGTGAGGCAGCACGGGAGGTGTCATCAGCAACATGATCCGATGTGGCAGAAGTAACAAGTATTGCAATATCGTCGAGCCAGGATTGGGGCGAGGCTTGTACAGCATCAGCTCCGGTGGTGAGTTGGGCTGCAATGCCTTCATCGCGCAGCTGACTGCACAAGCACTCCATCGAGGCTGCAATGACGTACTGGAACAACATGTCTGCCACAGGGGAGCCGGGCACCGTCCCCTTTTCTGTTTTATAGACAAGCGGGGCGGTGGCATCCACAGAGAACCAGGTATTGTGGAACGCTGCCCGCAGTAGTGTGGCAGTGGCAACACTGATGCCAGCTCTGTCGAGAGCGCCGGTATCCGCCAAGGCACACTGGATCCTCGCGCGGACCTCTGCTTCAAGCGGTAGGGATTCAATGTGTTTCTTCAGCACTCCGGCCTCGCTGGTGAAGAGATGCCCCCGGTGCGCAGCATAGAAAGCTGAAACGCCGTCCACAAATAGGACCGAGCCAGCCTTGCGCTGTTGTTTGAGGGCGGCGATATGAGAGCGCACGGCCATGGAAGGAACCTCCGCGGGGAAGGCCGCTCGCGCACCTCCGATGGTAGGGAGGGCCTGGCGCTCGAACGCGGTGCTGAGTTCCCTGCGTGTGGCCTTGGTAACGGCTTTGCACGCTGGCTCGGCCAGAGCGATTGACCGATATCCCAGACAAAGGTCCGCAGGTTTGCCAGCCTTGGGAATTGGGTGAGCCCTCATCCCCGTCCATAGGAGCGGCATGTGCCGTCGCCCAATCGCCTTCAACACCAGGGGCATGTGACAAACAGCAGCCAGAGGTGCACACTGCGAGTATGCTTCCGATGGGATCCCAGACAGACCCGATGCTTTGCCAGATTTGAGCGAAGCGAAAGAGGCAGACACATCGGCAAGGGTGGGGGCACCTTCCAACGCAACATGAGCTCCTGCATGGGGGTGAGCGATCACGAAGCTGTCCAGGCGAACCTCAGTCGCATCTTCAGCCTGCGCAAAATGCGCGCCAAATGCTCGTAGGATGGCATTTGGGTCAGTGACAAGTTCACCCCCTGCATTCAAGGCCTCCGGAAGGCCAGCTTGGGGGGCGGCTCTGCCACTGCGTAGGACAGACCGGAGCCGGCGCGCGAGGGCGGTGCGTCCCTGCTCTCGACAGTCTTGATACGTGAGCCGAACGTATTCGGCTTCATCTGCCCTGTGGGCATCTCTCAGCTGACGGCTCAAGTGCTGCATGCGGCGCATGTGTTGCGCCAAGACGAGATCATGGCGCTTGCGAGCCTGTCGGAGACGACCTGCATCCGCTCCGGAAAGGCCGCGCCACCCGGAAACATTGGTTCAAGACTGACCGTGCCTGGAGGGCTGCCCGGCGACGATGGACACGCCGCTGCTCTCGACGATGTGCGATGAGCTGCCATGTTCGCTGTGACATGGAAGGCTTACGCGGCCTGTCCGTCGCTGGGAATGCAGCTGCAAGGTGGTGCTGCAAGTGCTGGTTGATGCGCTGCAGGTGTTCGTCAACGCTGGTTTCCCAAGGCACATCCGGCATGGTGTTGTAAATTTGCTGCAGCTTGACGCGGCCTTCCGGCGTGAGCATGGCATCTCTATCCAACCTGCGTGCAACCCGGGGTGGACACCATAGCTGGACATCGAGCTCAACGGCGACAGGGTCATGGTCGATGCCCGCATGCTCGTCGGATATCGGGAGAACACCCTGCTTGGTGAACTGTTGGCCCCAAGCCCTAGGGACAACAACATAGTCAAGGCATGCTCCGGTGCTGAGAGTACCTGCAGGTGGTCGCCAGGTGATGCGAGGACGCCCATCAGCCTCATAGGCATCTGTACGCTGCAGCGCAAATTCATCCAAAACTTCTTGAAAGGCGCCCGCATTGCAGTTGGCCGGGTGCTCAACACATTCACCCCATTGGAATCTGGCGTTGGCGTCAAGAAGGAGCAAAGGCTGATATCCAGCAGGGACAGCAAGCAGCCGGTCTCGCAGCATTCTCCACCAGCCGTTGCGGTCGGTCTCGGGTGCAACTGCGGTAGGGCTATGCCCCGCTATGATCACGAGACATTGATCGCCAAGCTTGGCATGGACCTCGAGGAGGCGTTCATGTTGAAATGCCTTGCGAAAGAAGGGGCGCGCCCACGGGCCCGCAGCCATGTTGATCCAGATTTGACAGCCAAGCTGTCCGCCAGGGGCGGGACCCGCAAAGCGTAAAATGTCCTGGACACAAGCGCGGCCAACGGTTTCATGCCGGGCCTCCTGTATGCCAAGGACCTGGATGCGATGGGCTAGCATGAATTCCGAAAGACATTGACGTTGCAGAGCAGTTTTGCACGAGAGTGTGTTGTATGTGGCCGCTCTCAGTTGCAACCGAACGCATGTAGACACACTCTGCTGCGCATCCGCTGCCCAGGTAGCTGGCGTGCAAGGAATCTGTGGAGCAGCCTCCGCAGCTACTGGTCGGGAGCGGCCATCTTCGTCAAAACGTGGCCATGCAACGGAAGAATCCCTGGCAGTGTAGAGCCAGATCCAGTCAAACGCACCCTCCAGGATGTAACTAGTGACATGCGAGTCACCAAGGGTGGCATCAGGTCCCTGACACTTCAGGGCTTGCTTTGCTGCAAAGTCAACTAGCTCATTCAGGGGGTCCCCTTGATGGGAGTACACGTGAGAGAGGATTGGCCAATGCCCTTGCACCCCAGCACACATGTACAAACCCATAGCAGCACGAACTAGACAGTCAATGGCGCTGGTCTTGGCATTTCCACTAGCGACCGCTGCAGCACTCTGAGAGTCATAGTAAATCGTGGTGGGTACAGCAGTGTGGGCCGCAAGGCCATATGCAACCAACTGCGCATAGAGTTCGGCATCGAAGGCAGAACGGACGGAAATCACATCGCTGATACGCTCAGCAAAGTATCCCACCCAAAGCCATTCCTCAGAGAAAAGCCCAAGACAGCATACGGCCCACGCCCCACATCCGGAGTCGTAGGAGCCGTCCACGTAGAGGAGCAAGGCTTGTGGGATGGCGTCCTCCGGTGCTGCAGCGAGCGTCTCGAGGAAAGTCTGTGACGCTTTGTGCAGACCCCGCCCTCTCGGCTTCTCTCTGCATAAATGTGCAAGCGAAAATCCCTCCAGTGCGAGGTGCTTAGCATCAGCCGGAAGCCCAAGGTGCAGCGATGCCTCTTGGAATGTGGGTGCAGCTGTAGGCAGCTCCTCGAGGGCTGTTGTTGGCGCTGTACACCTCTGTGGATTAGAAGCCGCTGGGATGCAAGCAGCTAAGGAGAGATGCCGTCGCTCTTGCACGCCAGGGGCCCGAGCGGTCTCCGGCACCTGAGACATGAAGGTGGAGGCGTCTTCCAAACATTCACTCACCTGACCTGTAGCACCAGTGGAAACAGGAGTAGGCGATCTAGGCTCAGCGTGCTGTTCATGGAGGTCTAGGTCACTGGGGCCCTGCTGGCGCAGGGGGTTGCGTCCCAGATTTGCAGACATGCACCCATCAGGAACGAGGTTATCAGCAGTACCGCGGGAAGCGGCCGCAATCCCCCTGCGGCCAAATGGCGTAGCCACAGAGACCTTATCAGCCGTAATGGCCGCTTCCAAATGGGCAACTTGCCGCCTAACTCGCCCTAGTGTGACCTCAGCAGTGTCATCTGCTGCAGCGCGGATGGCTTGTTCGGGAGAGCACTGCACCTGTCCCTGGATGCAAGGGCATCGGTCGCTAACCAAACCTTTTGCTGCGGCCTGGCTGCACCGTCGCTGCTGCGCCTGTCGGAGATCTGGCAGCTGCGCAAGTGAAGTCCCGCCTGAGGACGGCACCGTTACAATACTCATGGGTTTCGACGCGGCAGATGAGCCGCGGCCAGAGTCGGTGTTGGCACCAGTGACAGGGGCCGCGGTAGCAGCAGGAGGATTGCCACTAGATGAGGCAGGCTCGGTTGAGGCTGCGGCAGTCGACGGGACAGGCGGTGGTAGAAGCTCAGCGTTCGGTCGGATTTGGGCAAGTGAGGGTGCCATCCGCGCGAGGGACCTCCGTCCTTGGGGTCTTGCAACCAGGATGCCAGCGCCATCGATCCATCCTTCAGATGGTGGGACCAAAGTGAGTTGGTCTTGCACTGGCAGGAGGTGCCAAGGCGGGCTGGTGTCAGCCGGCAGGTGGATGAGAGTATGAGCTCCAAAGTAGATGGGGTTGGGCACTGAGTACGTCATTCCTCGCACCTCCCGCGGGGCAATGATGAAAACCTGCGCAATCAATGTCTCGATGCGAGAATCGAGGATTCTGGCGTCGGCAGGGAAAATGCGCAGCTCCCTTAGCAAGGGTTCAGCTTCACCTACAGAAGGGCATGACATAAGGTCGAGCCACACGGTGTGCGGAGCGCGGCCCGGTTCCAGCAGCACCACCTTTTGCCGAGTGCGGGATGGCAAGCCATACATCTCAACTCGAGCTCTGGTCGCTCTGTCCAACCCAGTAAGCAAGGCCTGGTGAACTTCGGCATTTGCCCCTGCATGCGAAGCCCTTGCGGCAACTGTGTTGAAAGCCGGAACACGCAGTGGAGCACTCAAGCATTGCAGCCTGTTCACACTTCCTAGAAGTTGCATGGGATGCCCGACGGGGTATTGCACTCGTAGGTCCCCGGGGAACATTTGAACAAAGTCACCCGTGCGCAGCGGCCGGCGAACTGCCGACTGCGGGGCCCCATTTACCCAAGCTGCAAGGCCCAGGTTCTCCTGATTACGGGACAAAACATGCTCTGGTAGGGTGCCAGCCTGAACCACCAGGCTATGGATCTGAGATCCGTCAATGGACGGGTCCAGGACAATGTACTCGTAATCATCGGGAGTGTAAACAAGAATGGGTATGTTGTAATGACGGCCTCCCCTAGGCAGAGGCCACGCGGCCGTCATGACAACGTGTGCATTGGTAGGCAGACGCCCAGCTCGCGTGATTGCCAGGATCAAGGACGTGAGCTCCGCCACCACATCAAAGTGTGGCAGTGGAACCGGCGCTGTGGTCAGCGTCATTCCCGCCCCTGTCAGTGTGAACCTTACAGTCGTGTCCTCTGTATGCATGGCAGTAGTAGTGGTTGATGTAGATGTCAGAGGCGGCATGGCAATCGGCATCAATGCCGTACTGCCGATGATGCCAGCCCTGCTGACTACCCGTAGCCATTGCAACTCAGCCGCATCGTCGGGTACAGCAGTGTGCACACCACCGCGAGCATCCTGCAGGAAAAGGTCTCGGCTCAACAACAGCTCCTGCAAGAGATCAGACGTCTCAAGCCCGGGGGCATCCTGCACCAAGTGTTCGATATCTTGCCCAGGGGTGGCAGAGATCGTGACAATGGGACCGCCTACAAAACGGAAGTCAACTGGTACTGCAGGCGCAGCAGCTCCAGCAGCTGTTAGGACAAGCTGAGGCTCCGGTAATCCCGGCACACCAGGCATTAGCAGTTGGACTGCTTGCGGCAGCTCGGCAGTGACACCTGTGGCGGCATGGAAGAAGGATGCCATCGACCAGCCCGAATGTGCTTGCAGTGTGGTGGCCTCTGCCCCTGCTACATGCACAGTGAAATCCAGCCCTCCTGTATCAGCTTGGAGGCTGGCAAAGAGGCACAAGTCAGCCAGGGGCCTGTGCACAAGCTCCGGTTGGCGCAGGAAGGCAGGTCGCAATGCAATGCATGACGGGTAAAGACCCGCGCCTGCTTGGTGGTACGGCTCCGCGGCTTCTTCCGCGGCAAGCTGCATAAGACGCTGTACCGGAGTAGGGCTGTTGGTCATGCTTGCTGGCGCCCTCGTACCAGTCGTGGTGGGGGTGGTGCCGGCAAGGGCCGAAGCAGCCTGCACGCGCTGGCCAGCTGGTGCAGTAACTGGGCCAGCGATCAAGCACAACCATTGCCATCCACCAGCGGTGGTCTGGGTATCGTGATGAATGCGCCCTTTATCGTCTTGCCATGCTGTGACCTCTGTCGGAAAGGTGAAGAGCACAGGAGCGGGGGCCCCTGCTTTGACCAGATCAGGGAGCGCGGCCAGCTGGACCGGCTCAGGCATCTCAGCCGTAATGACGTCCCTGGCAAACTGCCGGAGGTCACAGGGGATAGCCCGGAAGGCAGCTGGGGCTTCACGTCTCGTTAGCACCAACTGAGGCCTAGGATATCCCGTCAGGGCCGGCTCCAACACTCGCACATGCCGAACCGGCGCAATGGATGCACGAATCGCATCCGCAACGATATTTTGGAGTAACCAAGCGGAACCGAAGGGCCTGACCCGGGGCCTGCGCTGAAACTCAAAGACGGTGTACTGCCGCCCTTGTGCTGCAATGTCCGCCTCTGTTAGCAGGCCCGCTTGCTGTACAGGTACTGCGTACCCACCTCCATACACGGTAGGAGGATCCACTGGCACTGGTGCTGCAACAGAGTAGGCAAGAGTGTGTGGCAGGGCCGGTTCAGGCACTGCCGGAGGCCCCTCGGGTGGAACCTGTGAAAGGCCTGGGGAGGGAATTATAATCGGTCCGCTGTGCTGAGGCTGGACATGTGCAGTGCTGGTCCCAAGTGACCGCACATGCTGCGACGGGGGAACGGAAACCTCCTGGGCTGCAAAGTCCCGGAGGAGAGGCAAAGTGGCAGCCGTGCTGGTTCCATTTGACCGCACAAGCCGAGTCGCATGAATAGGGCACATCGGGGGAGTGTAGCCGATGGTGGCGGCTCTGTCAATCGCAGGCCATCGGCACCCAAAATGGGGCCGCACAACTAGGATGCTGTCTAACGGGTGGGACCGTGGTGGGGTCCCTGATGCAAGTCTTGCACTGGTCCGAAAATGTAGGATCTCTGGCAAAGGTGCAAAGCGCACAGCTCGCGGTCTGACAGTACCTCTTAGCTGTACACTACCTCTACTCAGGCCCTGTACAGGTAACTCACAGGCTGGCCTCAGACAGCGGCTCGAAATCCCGGTGCCGACACCCGCACAAGCTCTACCCACCACACCAGAATTCACACCTTCAACGCCCATGAGGTGATCCTTCTGGGGGGTGGATAGAAGCTGTTTGGTGCCGTCAGCACACGAGATTGCGCCAGCTGCCGGGTCACAGCGCGTAGCAAGCTGGAGCCAAACAAGTCCCTCACTGTTGGTTCCAGGGTTTCGTTGTCTTTTATCGAACTGCCAGTCAGACTCTATTCCCAAGGCAGCCATCTCAACCTCGAATGCCAGCCTCCACCCAAGAAGCCGTGCCATTCGAGGGCACGTGAAGTCCCACTCCTTGCTCACAGAGTGGCGATCATCATCAAAACTTTTGCTGAAGTGCTGCGAGCAGTTCAGCCGCATCCGCTCCACAAGGACCATGTGGCTCGATGTGGAGCTTATTGAGGGTGCTGCGTCGTAGCACCGACTTCCGTCTTCTCGTTCTTGGCCGGCTGTTCGGTCTTGACTTCTTTGGTAACCTCTGCTTGCCGGCGGCGTGGGGAGCGCTCGCGTTCCCCACGCGAGAAGTCCGAAGCCTGCTTGGCCACGGATTGCACCGCCTCCCTGAGATTCTCGGTGATCCGCGTCTCTGCCATCTCCATATTGTCCATGGCAGCCTTCCTCTGAGCATCCATAGCGGCCAGCTCGGAGATCGGAACATCCTCGGCCTCCTCGTCGTCCTCCATGGAGTCCACTTCGATCGCTTCGCCGCGATCCTCGCTGGCCAAGCGGCCAATCTGCCCGGTAGTCTCGCGCAGTTGTGCCTCCCACTTGATCTCCGACTCGGAGAAGCCCTGCATAACCTGCATCTTCTCCTTCAGGTGCTCTTGCCAGATATTGCAGATTCCTTCCACGTACTCGCCCCAGGACTTGATGTAGTCCTGCCTGGCCAGACGCGTCTGTGCCAATTCGCGTCTGGCTTGGCTCTGCGCAGCTACAAGCTTGTGCAAGCTGCGCGCATGGGCCTTGGAATCCGCCTCGAACTGGCCGTCCAGCATCTCTCGCAGGTGTAGGGGCAGATCGTCTCGACTTTTCGCAAGCGCTGCCAAAAGGCCACTGAGTTTCGCATCGCTGGCAGAGGCCTGCGTCACAGCAGGCGTCTCCTTGGGCAGCGTCGCCGCGGGTGCCGCTGGTGGTCGCGGAAGCTGTGACAGGGCAGGAGCTGTCGGCGCAGTCCCTTTGCCCGCCTTCGTTGGCTGTTTGCCAGCCTCCTTGCCAGCGCCTTTCTCCGCGTTGCCCCGCTTGCGGGGGGAGCGGGGCCTTTTGCCTTTGGGCCCCTGCGTCCACTCCTCTGCGCCCCGCTGTCGGGGAGACTGTGGTCGCTCCCAGTAGCTGTTCCCTTTGCCATACGGGGTCCACTGAGAGGTCGAAGGAGCTGAGTAGGACCAAGGCTGTCCACACTGGCCGCAAAAGGCGGCTGTGTGCTTGACCTTGGCCTTGCATCCTTGGCAAAACCAGGGCTCTCTGCCACTCATCTCTGAGAAGGAGTGGTGTCGTCTGAGCAGGATCCGCGCCCGCCGGAGTCGGTCGTCCGGCACGTAGATCCACTTCGCTCGGGCCGCCCTTGTAAGCGTTCGCGCCTCCGTGCGCTCTCGCCGTAGGCGCCGATGCCAGGCCTGCTCCTTTGCAGGGCGCTTCGGTCGGCGCGGTATTGTAGAAGAGGATCACCAGAAACCAAAAGCAGGTGACCCCAACCATATACCAAATATCAAAACTGCGCAAGCGGTCGGCCAGAAGGCAGCGAACGCAGCGGAAAAAGATAGCAGTGCAGTCGGCCGAAGCAGCGAATGCACTGGTGTGACAACCGGCCACAAATGACCAGTCGGCGGGCCCTCCAGGCCGCGCTGGGTTTGGCCGCAATCCCGTGGACCACTAGGGAAACTACACGGTTCGCTGGCAGCCAAACGCCTGGGTTTAGGGTCTAGGGTTTAGGGTCTAGGGTTTCAGGGTCTAGGGTTTAGGGTTTAGGGTCTAGTGTTTAGGGTTGAGGGTTTAGGGTCTAGGGTTTAGGGTGTAGGGTTGTTGGGGTTTCTGGTTTAAGGAAGGTATCGGTCCAGGGCTTCTTGCGTTTCGGGCTCCAACTGAAGGCCTGCGATGGGAGTCGGTGAAGAGTTTCGATCCCTCGATCCGTTATGTTCCAATTACACACCGACTACAATAAACCCCATGCTGGGATTTCCTATACATTCCTCTTAAGGATTGAGGCGATGGGGTTTCCAACTTTTGGGCTTGTGCTGTACAGGGTGGACAGTGTTCTTTTGTTCATTCAAACTCCGACATGGGAGTTTCCGGAAATAGGGGACCCTAGTAAATAAAGTACTCTACACAGTAGGGTCTGTGTTGTAAGGACCCCCAGAAAGGTACCCCTGCTTTTATTTTCGGAAGCTCCCACATGACTTAGTTCACCATGTAGTCGGCTGCAGAGCACAGGAGCACTCTGCAGCTGCCGTTAAAAGTGTCCATGTCATTCACAGAAACTGGGGGTGGCTTGAATATAGCTGTTATGTTCCATCTCTTTAAATGTCAAGAAGAGCCCCTCAAGGATACAACTCCAAATAATCCCGAATCCCAGCAACACAAGCCTCAACCTAGACCTAGCCTCTGAACTTCATCCTAAGCCCTATATGAACCCTACTTAAATCCTACACCCCAAACGGAACCAGTCCTTTTCGGGAACACCCCGCATCGGTGCTTCCAGGGTGCTGGCCTGAGCTGGGAGGTGCAGCTCCTTGGATCGAACATGCGTTATACCCAGAGGCTCCTAGGATCCCTTGAAGAGGGGGTCTATAAGGGTTCCTATAAGGCATCTATAGGGTTTATTTATAGGGGACTCCAACTAGGATGCCCAGTAGTACCCTTATTCCCTTTTTGTAGTCCTAGGTTCCTTATAAAGTTACCCAATACCAAAAAGAGAGGCCTTATTATTCTTAGGTTACTGGGTATCCTAGCCAATAATAATCCATTAGTTAAGGAATATACCTTAAGCCATATTTGGGTTCCTACGAGAACTTAAAGCATATTCCTTAATTAAGGAATATAAGCCTTAACTCATATTAGGGATCCTACTATAACTTAATGTATATTCCTTAATTAGGATAATTTAATGTATATTCCTTAATTAGGATAATTTAATGTATATTTCTAAATTAGGATAACTTAATGTATAT